TGCTTTCATTCCCTTAGTCCTCATGGTGGTATTGAGTCAGTGTAGCCTCTTTAAATGTGCTTCTTGGAGTACAGGCACTGATTTTTATGGGGTTATATTCTGGCTGGAGCACTGGCTGGCTCCATACCCAGACAGGTGATAAAATTCATAAACACTTCACTTCTCAATGAGGAGACTGGCCATCTATCTATTTTAGTCTCAAGTTCAAGCAGAAATGTAATTTATCCATAATCAACATCTTTTTCTTACAAGTATATTTTGCTATATGTGTTTATAGGACCTAATGAAAGCCTCACTTCTTGCCCAGGATTTCCTGCCCATATGAAGGGTCATTTACTGAGGTCAGGAGTGTTCATATAGAGCAGAAAGAATAATTTCCTTTACTACAGCAATTACTGGCAAAAATCAATGACCCCTGTTAAGCTGGAGGCCAAGGCAAGTAAATACAACAGTGCTTTCTAGATTTTAGAATTCCCAGAGCCTCAGAGGTGTGCTTCCCCTCACACACGTGCTGAGGGAAACTAGCCAGCCTTCTAGGCAGGGGTGTCACACTTCCTGGCATTCCAAGGTTACAAAAATTATTTTAGTGCAATAGAAATGCAACCTTTAGCTGGCACTGAGGTTGTCCAGTTGATGGGGGAGAAAAAAAATCTCTGAGGGCTTCTTGCAGTGGAAGTGCCACGCTCACCTGTCCATACACCAGTGCTGTGAGCAGCGTCAGACAGCCTGGGAGACTTCCAGCACAGCCCTCACCATGCAGAAATAGTTCAGCTCTCACTCAGAAGGCTCAGCTCTGCCTCTGTGTCTGTCCCCGTGCCTTTCCAGGGCAGTGTCTGGTGAGACTGACAATTTAATGGTCACTTTGGCTTTTTATTTGCAAAGGACAACAGCCCTGAGGGAGAAGTGGGCTAAAGCCCATTTGCTTTCGCTGCACAGTCATTGCTGTTCTTCACTTTTTTCATTATTGCTGGTTTTTTTTCCCCTTTAGATTCATGCTGGGAAGCAGAACTGGCCACCTCTACCCTTCTACTTGCAGTGCACTCCTTTCAGATGTGGTTTCTTGCTCCACTGTTTGTTGGTTGGGATTTTTTTTTCAGTTCTTAAGCCAAATGTGCAGTGATGGATCTGGCAGCCACGCTCTTGCCAGCCACCCCCAGTCAGCTGAGCAGCAGTGGGGGGATGCAAAGGCTGCTCTCTCCCTGCTCTGCACTGTGAGACAGTTTCTCTGTCACAAACACTGAGGTTAAACAGTGGACAAGGGTCTGAGACAGCAGGTTCATCTGTTCCTGCAGAATTCACACGATTTGCCGCTGGTGGCAGCAATCTGCATTCAGGGAAGACTCTGCCTTGCCATCATTAACTTCTTAAACACCTGGCACTGCAACATGCCCTGCTGAGCTACCTTCTCAGTATTAAACCCTGGATCAAAAGCACCCAAATAAATAAAAAAAAAAAAAAGAACAAAAAAACCCCCAAAACTTTTCCTTGCATTTGTTTGAAAACTTGTTACAACTTTACTACCATCATTTAATTACAGAGCAGCAGTGGGCAGCAGCCAAACCTGCACCCTGTGATTAACCTGCCTCATGGTGTCTGATGGACATTTGACTTAAAAACCCAAGAATTTCATTGCTCAAACAATTTATTAGATCCCTAAGCCTAAAATAGGTTTTCAGTAATGTGTGCTGCTTCAGAGCCTTAGAAAATCTACTCTGGGAGCCAAGAAACATTTCCTAAAAGGCAAAAATGGGATCAAAAACATATTTGATAAAAAGGAGAAGGAGTAATGATGGTTTTTAACCACAGTGTTATTTTATTTCATCTCAGAAGCATGCTGTCAGTTTAAGAGAAGGGAACATCTATTGGATTTTATTTTGCATCTCTTTTAAAACAAAATTATCCTCACCTAGGGCTGCAGGGATTTTTCCCCCTAAACCAAATAAACTATATATTGGAATGACCTTGTAACAGGTTTTTGTGGCTCTTTAATCACTGGTGGCTGCTAAATGAAGCATATCTATTTTCTCTTTTACATTACTATTGGCAACCAGGTCTTCACTTAGTGCCCAGAAATATTTCCATGGCAACAAAAAGCATTCAGCATTGCTACTGTTTTGTGCCAATTTAACTTTAAAATATTCTATTGTGGAGAGAAATATGGTACATTACGTGAAATAAAGTCAAGATGCAATGTTCTGAAAAGAATACAAGGATAAACAGGAAACATGTATTTTGCAGGAATGGGGGGGGGAACTGCCAAATGGAAGGAAAAATGTTCAAAGCTCATTTTGATGCTACTGAACAGCTTTGCTGAATGTCAGCAAGTCCATGTGTCACTTACATTGTCACTTAGGGTTAGGTAAAAAGCTAACAGAAATAAGGATACCTCGAACATCTTCTCTTGATCATTTTAATCCATGACTGAAATTTTAAGTTGCCAGGGTATTACAGTCTCTCTGCATGTCTAGGTTACCATCAGAGCAGTTCACACTCTTGATGTTAGAGAATGAATCTAAAGGAAAAAGAGGAAATAAAGAGTTGAAAAATAAAATACAAAGAACACATGTGTTTTGGAAGTGGAAGTTCACTTAGAAGAGTGAAACGAGTTCTTCCACATCAAAGGGTCTGTGGAAGACATTTTCAAATCACAGTTCAGGACTTTGTCTCCTATTATACAACTTAGTTCTGAGAGAAAAGGGTATCAGTTCCCAGCCCTCTAGCCCTCAAACAGCCAACTTTTGTGACTGTGAAGTCTTGAGACCATTGGATGGCCCTTGTACAGTGAATTGCAGAGGTAAAAAGATTAAAGTCTATCTGAGACGATTTGGAATGACATTCCCCAAGTGCAAAAAGCTGTGCAATGCTCCCTGAAGTGCTTGGTGAGGAAGCAGAGAGCTCTAGGACGCAGCACTGTAGGTGCTGGGAGCTCTATGGGACCAGCCTTTTAGTCCAGAATGGCTCCAGGAAGGCTGGGGAGCAGGAAAACCAAAATAGATGGAGAGAGCCAAACAGCAACTTGGTCAGTACCTGCTCTCACCTGGACAGATGAGCAGAGGGATGAGCTCATCCCTTGAGCTGCAGGGATGGGTCACTCTGGCATCTGTCTGTCACTAAGTCTCTCTCCCCAGGAAGCTCCATCTGGTCCATCACCCACTCCTAAGAACCCTCTTTCTCAGGTGTCCCTGCAGGTGACAAACAGCTCTGACAGGGACAGCAGCTCACTCCTGGCCCCCATTTCCCTGAGAGCTCACCACCTTCCCTCCCACCCACTGAGCAGGGCCCAGGGGCAGGAGCTGCCCCAGGAATGATGCATTTGGCAGCTGGTTGACCCCAGGAATTGCTGTGAATTGCTCCAACATGTTGCCCCTCCTGAGGCACAGGGGCGCAGGCTCTGCAGGAGACAAGGCTGTGCCCTAGCACTTGTCCAAGAGGATCCCAGCACTCCCTGGATGGACAGCTGCTGCCCTGCTCCACGACCTCTGTGCACACACTGCTGACACAGTCCAAGCACACACAGCAAACCCAGCAGCGCTGGCTCGGTGCCCCAGACAAACCCTGGGGCAGGATATTGCACAGGCAATGTATGGGGGCACCAGAAGGTAGGGCTTGGGCTCCCAGAGATACAACTCTGAGACCTTTAATCTGAGAGCTGGCAATCTTTCATTTGGAATTCAAAACAAGCAGTCCCAGTTTGGGAGGCAGAACAGCTAGACCAAAAGCGCTTTTTAATTATTTACTCCCTGGCCATAACAGAGTGAGAAACAGCAATAAAGAAAACAGCTAATTTTATAGTCATTAAAGAGCACTGTCAAGGTTTATACCCTCTCAGTCTGATATTCCTGTTAAATATGAAAACAAACAGGCTGATCTTCCACAGTCTGCAAAGAAAAGGCTAAATATGTAATCCTCCCTAGAAGCCAAGAGTGAAGAAAAGCTCCTGGTCATAATAAAACACACATTTTCAAGAGCATCTACCACCTGCTTAAAAAGAAAAAAAAAAAAAATCAGATATTTGAAGCCAAATTCTGTAGATCCTCAGTGAGTCTCAAGTTCTTCACCAGCTCCATATTGTAGAGCCCAGTTCCCCCATCCTCTTTCCACCCTTATCCCCATTCCTAGGATGTTTGTAAAGAGCAGCTTTATGCCAGCAAGACCCAAGGATGGTGTCAGCAGGCCTGCAGCTTTCCTGGGTGTATTCAGGGCCTACATCAGAGCTCTGTGACCCAGGAAAGCTCCAGCCACACTTGTGGTGGCATGGAGTGAGCACAAGTCATGTGGCTGAAACTCAGTTCTGGGCCTCAAAACACTCCTGCTGTCATTTAAAGATCAGAAGTCATAGTTAGGCCTATTTAAAACTGCAAATATCAAACTCAGTTCTCCTTCCCATAATCTCCTGCCTGCTGTCTCTTCAGTCTTGTTTGAAAAGCCTATGGGGGTGGTGGGAGGGAAGGAAAGCGATTTGGGAGCCTTTCATCCATAAAATCATGAGATACGGCTGGCTTTTTAGTACAGCATTTCACAGCACATGGCACAGTAACATCTTGAGATTCCTGGCACAAAGAAACAAAGTTTGAGATTACTTATATATATATATATATATGTGTGTGTGTGTGTGTGTGTATATATATCTTTAATGGCAATGACGCAAAGGCAGATGGTTCTCAAAGCAAAGGTTTAAGGCTAAACATCCCTTTGAAGGGTCCTGCTACCAGAAACTAAACAGGGGGGAAGCCAAACACTCCTTGCTAGAGCAACGGGGCCTGATTACCTTCTGATACACAGCATTTCACCCTGGAGATCTCCAATTCTTTCCATGAGATTAGTCTCACAAACGAGGGAAGAATTGGAAAGGTCAGATTTTAATTTGGGATTTGGGGAGTTTTATTTTAGCTGTGGGAAACAGAGACAATACAGAACATAACGAGCAGATTAGCAACTAAATCAAATCAACAGCAGAAAAGAAGGGCCTGGATAAATCAGTCAGGGTGCCAGCTGCTTACCTGCACAGTGTGCAGTGCCATCAGCACTGTTTAAGGAGCCACCCAAGCTGAGGCTGTGCTCAAGACCTCCCATCCTCAAAGAGGGCTCACCTTCTTCCTCAGCGATGGGAGGAAGCCGATCAAGGGGCTGGAGGTCTTCACTTGTCCAGTAGGATCCATTGGTTGCCAAGGTCCTGCTGCTTTCAACGCACTGCTCTGGCAAGGTGCTGGTATTTTTAACTCTTTTTTGCCTCTGTGGACCCGTGTCAGAGCCGTGAGGGAGGTTTTGTGAAGCAAGATCAGGGCCTCCAATGCAACTGTCTTCTCTAGGATAGAAATAGTCCTCATCCCAAAGGTCCAGGTCTTGTTCCTCATCTGATTCCTCAGAATAATCCTCATAAACACCTCCATTATTCTCCAAGTCCTGGGTCCTCTCTTCTTCTGGCTTACGACCCACTCCACTCAAATTCAGCAGTGAGGCAGATATGGAGTCTCCTGCTTGTTGGATCGCTTCGTATATTTGAGACATCCAAGAAGAGAGTGGCTGGAGGAAATTCTGAGCAGCCTCAGAAGCCATGTTTTACACTATGCCAGTGCCTGGTGATCAGTTGTTCAGCTTTGCCAGCGTGTCACTTATAATTCAGGGAGCTACAGAATAAGCACCATAAGAAATTACTGTAAATTGCTTGTCCATCAACACCTGTCGGCACACTATCTATGATAGAACTCTATCTACGTCTAGAACTGAGAGAGGGAAATGGAAAAAGAACTACTCATTGGGAATACCACAAGAAATCCAGAAATGATGGACAAATTGCACATATTCCTGCAGAGATCTGGAAAGCTTTTATTCAATTGCTAAACCTTAGATAAAAATAAGAGCACAGAACCTTGGAACACACAAGTAACTTTTTGAAGTGCACACACTCTGGTTACAGCTGTCAACAGACCTGGGGAAAAAGGGTATAAAACAACCTGCAATCAAAAATCTCAGATAACCTCCTGGCCCCAATTTCCTTAGCATTAGCATGACCAGATGAGAAAACTGAAGGGAGGAGAATTTGGGGAGAATTATGTTTTGAAAGATGAAGATGGCAGGCCTAAAGCTTGCAGTAGCAGCCCATGGCAGACAAGCATCTCAAATGTTTTGCTCCAGAAAAGTTATGTAGAAACTCCCTCTGCCCATAGCCCAGAGCTGTTTTGCCATTCACAGAAATGAGGGGGAAAAAGAAAAAAAAAAGCCCAACAGAGGAGGTGTAACATTATAGGTACAAAATTACTGGGAACAGAAGAAAGTTAAGAAAAACACTGGTGTCATCTTGATATGATACTTTTTCAAAATTCATCTAAACTCTAAATAAAAACATAACTTGCAGAAAGTTAGCATGCCTTTTTGCCTGATATACATCTTCCCACGTTATCACAAGACAGATATTCTTTTAGGAACTCTGAGAAGGAGAAACCTACAAGTGGGATATGGGTTTAGGAAGAAAGAATTAAATAGGTGCAGATTTTAGACTAAATGATAACTAAAATGAAGCTTCAAAGTTAATATAAATGTCTTGCTGGGTTGAGAGGTCTAAAATCAATCAAAGTATGAAAGGGTAAATACAGTGTAGCAGCAAGAAAATAAGCTCAGCAGCAACGTGTATTACCTTGTGAAATGGTCTCCAGAGAAATGTAGTGGGAATCTCAGTGTTGTGGATCTTTGAATGGAGCACAGACTAAGGAGACCCCACTTTGCTTGGTGAGCAGCTCCTCTAGACATGAGATCAGTGACTTAAGAGGACTTTAACTTTTAAAACACATGTGCCAAATAATTTTGTTCACTTTTGTTGATTTATGCTGCAGACACTTCCAACAGGTTTATTGTCAGCTTCAGCATGTGCTAAGAACTGCAGCCCTAACAAGGGCAGTAAATGAATGTGGGTTACTAAAGGCATTTTTAAAGCTATGGCTGTCACAAACCCCCTGGGCTCAGGGCACACACTGTTCCAGCATCCATCTGGCAGGCTCCAGCTCTCAGCTCAGCCCCTGGGACCCAGGGAAAGCTCCCTGCCATGCAGTAAATCTTTGGCAAGGAACAGACAGTGCCATAGCCTCGCCTCCCAGGTGAGCTGTTCCCTTCACTGACTCTCTTCTTTCCAACCCTGCCTTTGGCAAAGCCTCTCTGCTTTGTGCAACAGATTTTCTCATAGACCAAGAAGAAATTACAGGCTCCAAACAACCCATTTGCAGCATAATGTGGTAAATCTACTGGTAAATCACAGCACCAGAGAAGTCACCGGGAGGAGATGGTACTTTTAACAATGAGATTCTCCCAGGCATGGAAGGACATAAACTCTGGTGGGTAAGTGCCAGATACTGGAGACATTTTTAACCTGGTGTTTATTTACAGGCAAGAACAAAAGAATCCCTGGTTTCTGATGAAAGGAGAACTTCACAGTGCTCTCCCTCTGTTTCAGCAGCAAGATCCATGGCAGCAGTAGCCCTCAGAGGGATGCAGGTATCCAGAAGTGATGGCTAACCAATGGAGATAAAACATATGCGTGCTGAAATGAAGTGCTGGTCTGTTCTAAAAATCAACAGAACATAGCCTTGTGATATTTGCATGGGGAATAATTAGCTCCTCTTGTTATTAGATTTTGAAGCTAACACCTGACAGATCCAACAGAGCTATCCCACTTCTGGATACACCAAACTCAGGCAAACATCACAGACTCTGACTGTGACCAGGGTATCTGGTACCACAAGCATAAAGATGGAGAGAGTTCTCAAGGGCAGATTTTGCTTCAGTAAGGGAAGTAAAGCAGTGATCTGCAGCCACCTGGGAGAGATGAGCTTGGATGTGGTCACTCGATCATCTGGAGCAGCAGACAAAACTTGAACGTGAACTTTGATATACCAAGAAGTTTCCTGTAGGCTGGGGGAGAACATGACACACACACATATACACACATGCACAGCTCTGCCCAAGACTGGCACATTGGTCTGGATCCAATCCTAGGAACCCCAACAAGTGGTTTGAATTCAGTTTAGTGACAATAGAAAGACAATGATGTGTATTTCACCAAAAATTCTAAACCCCTTTGCAGTTACACCTGCAACTCACACATGAAACATGCAGCCCAATGCCTACATAATCTCTAGAGGCAAAAGCAATGTCTTTTCCAGGGTGCCTGACTCTATTTCACCTTTGCTTTGCTTTTCCCACCATCTTCTTACTAAAGACTCCACAGTCAGTGATATGCTAAACAACTGGAGTTCAGCTGAATTATAAATGGTTTATTTTTGTTCTTGCAGCAGATGGATAAAATGTGTAACAAGCTGCAGACAAGTTTAGGCGGGCAACGATTTTACAAACTCACCAGAGGATCAAAGGGGGGCTGAGCTGTGTTACAGGCTTGCTGTTTCCCAGGAGCTCTCTCCATTAATTAGGAGACACTGCTCTAACAGCGTGTTTATGATATATTTCACAACACCGCCTTTTCAACATAACGGATTTTTACTTTTGATTTCTCTAACAGTTTTGACTTGCATTAGAAGAGGGAAAAAAAAAAAAAAAACAACTAAAAGAGCTGAGAAAAGTTTAAAATGTGTGGGAAATAAAAAAAAAATCCATTTCTTTTTAAAAGTATTCATCAAACAAGAGAGAGGAAAAAAGCAGTTTAGCAAATTTACTTCAAGTTCCATCTTCTAAAACCACCCATAAGAATTTTCACACCAAATCACATGCTAAACTCAAAGTGGTTAGGGCTTTTTTTTTCCCCTCTCATGGAAAATCAGATAGCTAAAAGGATCAATGTTGAGCCTCTCACAGAAACCATCATAACCTTTACTACAATCCATATTCTCTTGTCTTGATAGGATCATTATTCCTGAGTAGCATTCCCATTGAGAGGTGCAATTACTGTATTGCTAAAAAAGTAGACTATTACCAGAATTTCAAATACAACCACAATGCAGAGGTTTGTAACATTACAATTCAATCTTTTTGATAGGTAGGTTCCTAAAAAAAGTGCCATCAGTTGTGCATTCCTTAATGTTTCCCTTATTCAAGCTGTTGCTGAGTGTAGGCACAAACTTCCTTTTCTTCAGTCACTTTTTGTGTGGCTCTTGGAAAAGTCTTCTACCAAACCCCTCCCTGAGAGGCAGAACACAGGCTGGAAATGGATCATATCCATGGGCAAGAACTTTATTTGTGTGGATGTCAAAGAAGAAGAGTGTGACTTACCCAGCATGAAGTTCTGCTCCAAGTTTAGGGGGAAAACCTAAAACAAGGCGTGAATCTAAGCTGATGCCCAGAACATCAAGGATCTGTGCAAAAGGTAAGGTTTTTGCTGTTCTCAGAAGGGGGAAATAAGGAAGGCTTGGAGAGGCAAGATTTTTTGAGCTACTGAAAACTGTAATGAGTCTGATCCTCCTTTCAGGGTAGAAGCCAATTAAAATACACATTTAAAACAGCAGAGGGTAGATTAGAAATGTACTCAGATGAAGGCAGGCAGCAGCAGCACAGGGCCAAGAAATCCTCTATCCTGGTTCTGGGAACAATCTGGATTCTTTGCTCCTCTTGCAGTTGCCAGAATTGTATCTAACAAGATGCTTGCAAAGCCCTTGCGCTCTCACCAAACTTTACTATGATGAAAATGCATTTCCAGCTGAAATTGTCACAGTGCCAAGCCCAGCCTGTGCACTTGAAACTGTTCAGAGGGTTGGAGCCTCTTGCAGAAGTGTTATGAGGGAAGTTCACAGACAGTGCCCAAGGTTCACATCAGCTGTGAGCATCACTACTGACCAAACTTCCCTAAGGTAAAGACAAAACAGAAATACAGAACATCTGGTACCTTTTTGGCCTATTTTGTGCTGTAAAAATGCTATTTATGTGGTTGAATTTAACACACAGAAAAAAAGAGAAGACAGAGGCACTTTCCAAGTGATTATGTGCTCTGTGATAATAGTTTTCAGCTGGTGAATCAGAAACTCTGGGGCACTGAAGGAAAATCTAATGGTTTATGCCAATAAATTAGACACATCTCATTGGAAACATTCATGGGTTACAAATCAACACAGCAATAAACCCACTGCTGCAGAGCATTGGCCCTGCAAGCCCCAGAATGGTGAGGAGAAAACAAAGATGAGCTCAGGCAGACAGCAATGTACCCGGCTGCACGGGGCTCAGCCCACGCACAGGAAGCCTGCAGACTTATTTCTCACTCCCAAATCATCTCATGTCTTTGCAGGCAGCTCGCTAGTGATGCTGTGCCAAATTAGTTGTAAAAATTGATACCCAAATGACAAAAAGTGGTTTTGATCGGGATATTTAGCCCCATGTTGTCTCCTACATTCTTTTCATTCCTTTGTTCATGCTCTCCTTTTGTCAATAACAATGGCAAAAATTACTGATCTTCACTGCTTCAGTGGGATGGGGAGAAGAGGAAAGCGGTAGAAGAAAAAGAGGAATTATGCAAATATGACATTTATCGTTCCAAATTGTGGAGCTTTTTTTCAAAAAACCCAGGTCTCTCTATCATACAGAGTATGCGATGACAAATTCAGGCAAAAAAAAACCAAAAAAAG